GTACCTCCCCCGTACTCCCCCCACACTTCCCCCCATGTCTCTGAAGGTTTGACAAAACATAGCCCCAGCAATTCAGCTGCTCAGCTAATTAATGACTGTGGAAAAAGAAGAAAAAAATAAAAATAAAAAGGTGTCATTTGTCCAGTGACAGTTCATCAAAACCATTTTTTTTTCAGACCTGACCGGGGTCTAAGACCTGACCGGGGTCTAAGACCTGACTGAGGTTCACCGTCTACAGTCAGGGTGGTGTTGGGTGGAGGGAGGACGGTCTGCTCCTCAGTTTGTTCTACAAATTCCTCCAGGATCGTCCGTCAAGAACGGTGTGAAACCAACAGCCCTTAGAGAAATGGTGGAATATATGAAGTGACCTCCTGATGCCCCCCCCCCTCCCCTCCACCACTCCTGAAGAAGAACAAGGTTTATTTGGGACATGCTTGTGTTCAGTGATGTCCCGTGTGGACAGCTGTGTCCTCCTTCAGACTGTATTTAGATTCATGTAACACCACCGTGTCACAGCCCGAGGCGTCGTCAACTTTGGTTGAAACTCGAGTCAAATGTCTTCCATTTTATTTACAACAAAATGGAGTCTGGAGAAAGACAACAAAAACTTTATTGAGTTTTTTTTCCTCTTTTTTTTTTACAAAACATCTAAGAATCAACCTGATTAGACAGTCAGACCTTCAGGATGTAAATTATAAACATCGTGTGACATCATCGTTTACTGCACTGTGCCCACATTTTAGGCGTGTGTTTGAACACAGATCAGACTCTGTTTGGTTCCTTCTTCAGTTTTTTTACACGTGTTTTAAATATTTAAAAAAAAAGTTTAAAAAAAAGAAAGATATACTGAACGTTTACATTTACTCTGTTTTTTTTTTCAAATATTCAATAAAGATTGTGTTAAAATAATAATAATAAAAAAACACGACCGACTTAGACCAAAATATAACAACATTTACAGGGTAAATAAAATACTCTGATGATCAAGTTTGCCGATGACACCACACTGTATAAATATTTAGTTTCTTAAATAAATAAATAAATAACGTCTCCAGTTGCCCCCGCCCCCCAGCGCAGTTGTACAGGTCAACATGAGTATTGATCATTTTCAGAAGTGAATATCTGATGTTAGTGTACCACTTTAAGTACGTATGTACCGATTTACTACGTTATAATTTTGATAATAAGAAGAACATACGTATGAATCTTCCGATACGTATCGTATCGCCAGATTCTTCCCAATAAACACTCCTACCCTTCACCCCTCCCTGTAAGAAAGACTTATGGTGAGGTAACTGGTTTTTATACAGGAACTACACTTAGCATGTAGCGCGTTATTGGCGCATTAGCGTCTAGCATATAAGTGGTGTTGTACTGTAGCTGTGCGCTAGTATGTAGTGTGTTAGTGGTATGCTACGACAGGGCGTTTTAGCTGCACGTTAGCAGGTAGCGCCAAGCTATTCCTGCCAACATCTAACTCAGCATTACTGCCACCTACTGGGTCTTTATTCAGGCTGGGAAAATACTCCGTTAATAATAATAATTAAAAAAAACAGCGAAAAAACAATAACCTACAGGGAGGAGATAAAAACTTGATTGATGACCTCACAGAACCAAATACCCCGGAAAACCACAGAGGGGGGTAATTTAGGAGTACTGAGAGGTATCCTGTGTACTTATGCAGAGAATGTAGTAAAAGTAAAGTATACAATACGTATATGGTTAGATAATATACTGAGTGTTATGTGGTGTCGTGAGAACATGCGTGTGTTCCATTCTTACTCACACCAACCTCTGTACACTGGGGTCACACTGGGGTCACACTGGGGTCACACTGGGGTCACAGTGACATCCAGATTAATTTATGAATAACTGCATATGGCTTTTAACCCCACCCCCTTTCTCTCTCTCTCTCTCTCTCTTCTGTGTGATTATGTTTAGATTAAATGTAAAATACATCATGCAGATTGGTCCGTGCTGTCTCGACAGAACACACACACACACACACACACAACTTAATGTTGCGGAGTCCTTGACATCTGCTCAGTACTTTTTGTGTCTAAAGTACTCGCTAAAACATGAGGTCGAACGAACCAACACAGTCCACCAGAGGTCGTTTAAGGTCAGAAACAGTTTGTTAAATAACCTGAAACATATATATATATATAAAAAAAGAGAAACAACATTTAAGACTTTAGGTCAGAGGTCACATGCTGTACAGCCTAATCAGATCTAAAATGTGGGCTGGACCAGGAGAAAATGACAACATAAATAACATCAACACCATTTTCACCAATCAGATCCACTGGTGAGAATAAAATAAATAAAAGGACACCTGAAATAAACTTTTAAAAAACTTTTTTTTTTAAACAACCTGAAATTCTTAACAATAAAATAAATAAACGCACTTATAACAACAGGACGTCCACGTCAGCTGTTTTCAGCCGTTAGTTTTCCACCGCAGTGCAGAGAGAGATTCTCTAAAAACACTGAGTTTTTCCAAACACACCAAACACACACATCGTCCATGTCCCTCTGCAAACACAAGTGGTCCATTTTGGTCCATTTTGGTCCAGTCAGGGTCCCAACCCCGAGGGTCAAAGTCAAAGAGGAAACATCTGAGAACAACTGCCCTTCACTGCTGCCACGGCTGTTTAGTTTCCAGTCTCAGGGTTGTGTTGTGTATGCTACTAATGTGCCCTCTAGTGTACAATTAAGGAACAGCAGCAAAACTTTTGGAAAAAAATATACAAATTTTTGCAATATGTGTCGTGCCTATTAAGGCCCACGAGCCATATTTTTGACCTGTAATTAGTATAGGCTGGTGTATATATTTACTGCCCCCCCCCAAACCTTTTCTTTTTCACTAAAGCAAATGTAAAGAACCAGAGGCTTGAACAGAGGAACGCAGATATGTATTTCTGTTGTAAAAACAAACAAAACAAAAACATCTGGGTCGCGGCCTGCGAGTTGGGACGCACATCTACTGTATGGCTTCATAGTGTAGCAGTTAGCACGCCTGTCTTACAAGTAGCACAGAGCAATTCAATTCCCAGACAGACCACAAATCCCAGCCTGTGAGTTACAACCATGTACTTAATTGCGCCTCCTGTGGCAGCCCATGTCAGTTACAAGAGACTTACACTATAAATGTTCCCATGACAGGAGAAAATAAGGGACTCTTTTTATTATTATTATTACTATTATTATTATTATGTCTGACTCCCTGGGGCTGCTCTGGTCTGGGGGCTTATTTCTTAACCACTAGGAGGCAGCACTCCTGTGACAGCTTCGTGAATTGATTCTAAGACGAACATTTGACCAAAAGTTAGTTTGAAATATATAAAATAATCGGTCAGAGGTGAACTCGTCACTCACACTTTCATCTGTGGACGGCGTGAAAGAAATAAATACTCCAGGTGCAGAGCAGAGGGGTCTAGAGCGCCCCCATTCCTGTGACCTCAGACGTCAGCCTACAACAGTTCGGGTGAGATGGGGCAGGAGAGGGAACAGGAGGAGGGCAGAGAGGCAGATCAACTATTACCTTAATAATTAATGTCTCTGTGTCTCACGAGGTCCCTGACCCTTAGTTTGATCATCATTTTGTCACATCAGTTTGACAGTACCAGGTTACCTTGCGTTGATGAGGTACTGAGCCAGGTTGATGTTAACCGGCGCCCCCGTGATGGTGATCTGGCGTTCCGACGATCCTTCCATGGCGTTTGCGATTTTGATCTGCGCTCCGGACATTTGTCGGATCTCGTTAATTTTGGTTCCCTGGCGTCCGATGATGCAGCCTATCAGCTGGCGGTGGAAATGAGACGAGTTAAAAAATGGTTAATTATCAAGTGAAGACACGTAGAAAAAAAACAAAAAAAAAAACAGTCACGTTTCTAAACTGTTGGCGTCTTCACTCACATCGTTAGGAACGGTGAGTTCTTGGGTGCTGGCCGGTGGACTGGTGTCCAAACCTGGGTTGGAGGACAGAGAACAGACGCAGAGGAAATGTTGGATTTGATTGTTGGAAAAAAAACAACAACTTTGAAACTTCTTTACTTTTACTAATGAGATTTGCCATCTGCCCCGCACAGGGCAATAAGATGGACACGGTGAACTACTCAATATATACTAAATACATGTGATTGACACATCAACTTCATCACATGACCCCTGGTGTTACCGCCCTGTGTGAAAGACCGAACCCATCTGAGTCAGTGACACCAGCCGGGGCCGCTGACCTGAGATTGAAACCTCTACAAACACATGCTGGGAGCTGATGATGGGATGAAAACTCGAGATACTTCAAGTGCATGTCATTCTACCAGTACCTACAATTAAAAAAAAATCAATATATTGTCGCATCTGTAGTATCGCAATATATTGTATCGTTGCCCCAGTCATTTTCTTGTTACACAGTACACAGTACTATGTACAGACGGGAGTAATATTTGGAGTAAACCCTGGTTTAGAGATCTGTTTCTACAAGTTGGGACCATCTGGCCTTGCACTGAAGAAAAAGTTAAGAAAACAAGGAGTAGGAAAGTAACCACCGGGGGGCAGTATCATGCTGGGTCGAGTCATGCAAAGGTGGGGGCAAGAGAAAATGTTTCTCTGGATGCAAAAAGAAAAGTCTAAAATCTACTGGGTGGGTACTTGGAGGGTACGTACCAGGGAAAGCGGGGATGGTCTGTCCCAGGGGGGTAAAGGGGGTTTGCTGCATAGCCAACTGGTGGAGCTTGGTCAACTGCTGAAGGGTTAGGAGGGAAAGTAGAGCTAAGAGGTTACTGAGACACAGTCACACTGAGAAACGAAGGAAACCAAAAGGAAGGAGTCGGTGAAGGAGGAGGCCAGGAGCCAGGGTGGGGGGGCAGAGAGGTGGGGTTAGGAGCTAAGAATATGATGTGATTCTAACAGCAGTGAGAAGTGACCTGCCCCTTATCAGAGAGAATAAAATCAAATATCGTTCGGCCAATATTAGTGGACATCCCTAGCAGTGATTTACTGTGGTGTTATATATATATAATACATAGTACATATATAATATACTTCATTGAGTCATCAGTGAGT